GAATCTTTCTGCTTAGAGCTGGGTAAAGATACGCTGAGAAAATTGTGTGTCTCAAGCTCGAATCTTATTTTTAATTGTGACACAGACTATGACTGTTCTGCCTCCAGGAAAAAAAAGCTGCAGATATTTTCTTACTGCTCACATTTCAGATTATTATACATGAGCATCCATCAGAGCCTTTCTCTCCTTCAGCCCCTCCCCCCAACATTAATGCAAACTGATATGAACAAAAGGCAATAAATAAATCTGAAGTGTTAATTGTAGATTTCGTGGATTGTGCTAACTGCTAGTTTAAAACGAGATGTGGCACCAGTACTTTCTGTTAGCCATGTCTTTGATTTACTCGTGATTAGTTAATGTCTCATTGTCGATGCTAAATGCTACGGTTAATGGATTGACCTAATTTGAAGTTTTAAGATAAGTAAGTGTGCTTCCTGATGGCTTTGTTAAAATGAATAGCCAAGCAATATCAGATCAGGGAGGTCAGATTCCCAATCTATGCAGATGGTGGCAGTAGTTGGACTATAGCCTTAGTAGCTGATGATTAGAGAGGAGAATATTCACCAGGTTATCTGTTCCTGATGACCATATCAATTGGATTCTGGTGTTTAGAACACTAACTGCTATTTTGAGCTGTGCTGTGTCTGCAGCAGGTATTGTTTTCTCTTGATTTACTGCAATATAATTCAGTGTATCAACGTATCTTGTTTCCAACCCTTCGTTCCTGCTGTCAACTTTCTGTCTGTTCCTCATGACGGGAGGAGGCTGTATATCAGTATGGTGTCAGCAGTTCTGTACAATTGTGTGATAGGAAGATGGCAGAATGCATACAATTATTTTTTTTTGCAGCTAGATGTAAAAATCATTTGCTGTCGAGCACCTAAAGTTGCTGTGCACTGTGATGGGCAACTTTTCGTTTGAAAAACCCACTGAAACACCATCCTTTAAACTTCTGCAAAGGCTCAGTGAGCAATTGCAATGCCTGGTGTGGTCCTTGGGCATATACATCAGGAAGGTTTCCAGTTCTATTCCTGGTCGGGGCTCAAGGCAATGGGCTACAGCAGGGGTGCTACAACTGTCCTGAGGGCTAGAGAGGCGAAGAGATCAGTCTGTGTTCTGTCTCCTGATTACTACCCATTGACCTCTGCTTCCCAGTCTCACACTGAAGGCACATAGATGTCCATTGAAAAACTGATGGGGGAAACTTGGGTTTGGGCAACAGCTGCTTTAAGCATTTACCTGGACTCAAGTTCATGAGGGCATCCTTGTATATCCAAGACTTAGTGCTTACTTTGATTGGTGTACCATGAAGTGAGCGGTAGCTGCTGAATCTCTGTACCTAGGGAATCCAGAATTTACTGTGCTCTGCAATGAGAAGCTGTGTGGCTATTGCTGGTTAAACTGAGCAATATCCTAATGAGCACTCTGGGTTCCTCAAGCCTTGCCAAACTCCAAGCCTTGTCATTGTCATTATCCTCTTTATTATAAACTTACCAATGAAGACAAAATAGGCCAGTATGTTAACTACCCTTAATAGTAACCAACTGTCATTTATGATGAATGCTTTCCCTCTGCCCCAGCCCTACTTTGGGTTTACAGTTAAATGTAATAAAACTCACAAATCATCCATTCTCTTACCATTACGTACTTAAAGATCTCACTTGCCAGTCACAGACAATCAGCTACTGGTTCTCTACTGCATAAATGGCATTGCATGTACATTAGCCATGCTTGCTCTTTCAATTTGCACTCACCAGGACCCACGTCTTAGTCGGACATGACAAATGTTGGTGCTGAATTAACCCTCATCTGGAACAATGCTGATTTTTACTACAATTCTGACTCTTGTGTTACTTTGGGTTTGGAAGCTTCAATAGATTGAAACTCTATATGAGATGGCTTGTTTCTTAAAGAAGCAAGTGCCGTTGCATTGAGTCACCATGACATAATCCCTTGTCTGAATGTTTTTGCTTGTGCCGAGAAATTCTTTTTGAGTGTTTCATTGCATGAGGCTCTGTATTGATGCTTGTGGAGCAGCGTATTCAATACAAATACTGCCAAAGTTGTTCAGTATCAATGGTGGAACTCTGATCAAACACTGTTGTGTAACTTGTGTGGAACAGAGAGAGCTGTAAATGTGATTTACAAGGCAATTCATTTCTATAGTGGAAATTTCGCTTGTCAACATTAAAGGTGATTTAAGGTGATGCCTTGGAATAATTGATCATTTGCCTTCCAAACTTTTTTGAACCTCTTGTGCTGTTGTACTCTCACAATAGAGCTCCACTATAAATGTCCTTGTGTGTCAGCCTAGCTCATTGGTGGCATTTTTGCCTCTCGAGTCAGAAGGCTGAGTTCAAGTCCCATATTGGGACTTGGAATCACATCGTCTAAGCTGACACTCCACTGCAGTGCTGGTGAGGGTCGTGTTGCATTGTTGGAGGTGCCGTCCTTTGGATGAGATGTTAAATCGAGATCCTGTCAGCCTGTTCAGGTGAACATTAAAGATCCACCATTTGAGAAGAGAGGCCTGGTGACTGGGCCAGCAACGCCCCCAAATAAAAAACAAAAAGGTGGTTTCCCCCCCCCGTTGCTGTTTGTGGGACGTTGTTGCTGTGTGCTGTCGCTTTTCACCCGGAAAATACACATTCAATCCACTTTACAGTTATCCCGTGAAGCATTTTGAGACGTCTCGATGTTATATCCGGCGGAAGGATTATTATTATTAATGTTTTATTCACTGTAATTGCACATCAATTTTTGCCAAGTGGAGAATCGCATGGTCCACAGCTTCCCACGCTGCAAACTGCCAAACGGTGGTTTCAAAGCTGCTTTGTGGAGATTTTTTTCCAGTCGGAGGGAGGGAAAATTCAATCAAAGCAAATGCTGCTGTTAAAAAATCTTCCCGTGGGCAGGTTCACAGCCCCCATGAAGAACAAAAGTTGCTCTCTGGCAAACAGTTTGCATCTTTGGGATAACAGAAGAATTTTGAGCAGAAGAAAAATAAATTTGCTGGCGATCAAATAACTTCAGCTGGAAAGTGACTGACTGAACATTAGAAGAACCTTTCAGTGTATTAATAAAGACAAGGATGGACATAGACATGTTGTACATGTGATATTACGACTATACCTGTATATGCAATTACTCTGATACACTTTGTTGTACCACAAGCCCGTATTCTTGGCTGGAAAGTTAAAATTCCTGTTGGTGTTCCCCTCCTCCTCTTCCTTTCTCCTGCCCCCCACCCCCCTGGGAAATGTGAATACTTTTGAATCTGTTCAAATAGAGGCAGAGACCAAACAACTTGTGCAATCCCAAGCGAGCAGAGAACTAAACTAAATGTGTAAAATGACCTCCAAGGATGCAGTCAATGAAACTGTAACCTCCTAGTTGGGTTAACAAAGAGAGTTGTCAGTCTTGGGAGAGTACTGTGCGATCGAGAAACAGATGTGTATGTTGGAACTGTACCAAGAAGTGATGTCAGATGTGGATGTGCCTATTGCAGATAGGAAATAGCTCTTGCGTGGGTTTTTTCTGCCTGGGTTCTTGATTTTTTTTTCAAATTGAATTTACTTAGTTGAGCTCAAACAGAACCAGTAAATCAACTGTTGGCTCAAGTCTAATGTTTATTCTGGACAAAATAGTAGTTTGTTCATCCGCTGCATATGTACAGTGCAATTAGCCCACAAAGTGGTTGTGGAAATCGTGCCTTATACTGCTTTGCAAATTGCATTTCCCCTCCACTCTCTGATCGCACGGAATATGAAATTCATCTTGGCAAATATTTCCTTAGAGATTTACTGCCTCGTGTTTATTGCTGCTCTTCCGGGCAGCCTTGCGGAATATGGCTAACTTGTGTGAAGAGTCATCTACTCACAAACTGTACTCAGTTGTGTCAAGATTTCACGGTTAAAATTTCATATGAACAGTTTGTTATGTACCTTTTTAATTGAACTGGTTTAATACTGTAACTTGTCCTGTTTTTTTTTAATATTTTGGTTAAAATGTTCCATTGCAGTTTTGGGCTGTAAATGAGGCCAGTTACCCGATCAAAAGGAAGAGATGGATGTTTGCACTAAAGGGTATTTGGCTTTGCTTTCATTGAGTACCAGTTCATGTAAATACTAATCGAAGGTGAGCCACAGTACACTGCTTATTTTCCAAGGTTTTCACACGTGTTTGTTTGTTTGTTTGCTTGTGTTGTGAAAAGTGGCGTTTCCTCACCTACAGTATATCCGAATAACATAGCATCTCTGGGTAACGTACTCTGGATTACTTCGACTGTAAATGACACTCATGGTTGTGGCGAAGGGGAGTGATGAAATGAAGTACGTTTTTAAGCTAAAGGGGGAGGGAGATTTTCTCAGCAACATGAGATGCCTCTCCATACAGTTTATGCAAATGTTCCAATGCCCCGATTGTGGTTGGCTGGGCGGCCGGCTGGCTGGGCGGCTGGCTGGCTGGCTGGGCGGCTGGCTGGGCGGCTGAGTGCTGCTCGCTGCTTGTACTCAGTTGCTTTCAGCAGCAGATGGAGAGGAAGTGCCGCTGAGCTCTGGAGCTATCACATTAAAAAAAAACGAACAAACAACTGCCGTAACGGAACAAGATTTGTGAATCGAGCACTTTGCTCACTTTGGACGTGGGCTGCGTGTCACTTGTATGAATCGTGGCGTTGTTTCCCAGGCATTATCAGCGAGACTGCCTCAGAAATATCAGTGTAATCACCTTATGATTCGACTTTCAGAGTGTACGGAGGGAGGGAGGGAGGGAGGGAGGGGGAGACGGAGAGTTTTTTTTTTGGAAGAGATGAAGTGTGTGAATTCAAAAGACAAATAAGACTGGCACGTGAGGAAGGATGTTTGACCTCATGCTGAAATGACTCTGAAGTGAGCTCTGATTGTGGCCAGAATTCACACATGAGAAGAGGCACTGGCTATCCACCGAGTCTGCATTACACATCAGCACTGCCAGTCTCGAGGAGCTGCAGCATTCAGGTGGCCCCAACAGATAAGCTGCTGTTGAATAGGTGAATGAATTCCTGCATCATCTGAGCTCACACATGTCTCAGCCATTCAGAACAGAAAACAATTCCTCCATGGCTCACAGACCTACCGCTAATCTCTGAATAGCTCTCTCTGACTGCCTTTGAGAGAGAGACTGAAACTGATTTTTGCAACACAAACTCCAGAAAGAATGCCTGAATCCTGATGGAAAAGAGAAATGATGTATGTTAGCTGTTCCTGCTTTGAAAAAGGGCTGATGTGGACAGTGAAATGCCTAATAATCTAACGTTAATGTGACTGGTGTGGGATGGCAACTGAGTAACCGACAATTCGCACAAGTCTTTTGCAACTTGGGATGAGCTGTAGCCGTTAGTCTGAAGGAGCATCATGGACGATTCCAGCATTTTGAGGCGGAGGGGGCTGCAGGTAAGGCTGTTGATGAACTCGAAACAAACGTCTGAACAACCTTTCTCTAATTACTAAAGCCAAGTGAATCTGACAGCCCATTGGGCATACGGAGAAGAGACGCAGGTTTGATTCTTCCTTCTGTGCTGAGTTCTCAATCTTGGCTGCACGACTGGAGATGCTGTGCAGAGACTGAGCGTCTTGTTTCTCCACGGGAAGGGAGGAAGGATTTGAGGGAGAGTTGCTGTTTCTTGCATATGTCTGAATGACCGGATTAAGAGCGTCATTAGCTGAGATTACCTGCTTACTCTTTTGAATGCAAGAAGTGACTGATCCGGGGGGAGAAACTGGAGGGTAACCGACCTGTGAAAATATCTTAATTCAGTAAAAAAAATTGTTTACAGTTTGTGGTTGCCGTAATGTCAACAATTGTAAATTTGATATTAAAATCAATTAAAACATTTCTACAAGTGTTTAACTAGGAAATTTATATAATTGTTTTAAAAAAAATGGCCATAGCTAGTGAAGGGCTTAAGTTTATTTGTTTCTGGAGCTTGGGTATAATAATAATAATACTTGCATTTGATATAGTGCTTTTCACATCTTCGAGACGTTTCAAAGCACTTCACAGAATATACTGTAAAGTGTAGTGACTGTATATTTTGTGGGCGAAACGCGGCAGCCAATTGCGCACAGCAGCGTCCCACAAACAGTCGTGGGTTGAGTGATTGAATTTTTTTTGAAGGGATTATTACCCCTTGTTCTGGTTGTCTATGATGGATTATTCAAAGTTTTAAGTTATTCTTTCTGGTTACACCTTACATCTGCCAGTGACATTTGTTTAGAATTTATTTCCGTTTCATTTTGCTTAATATTTTATATTAAATGGTGTATTGATCAGTTGAAGTAATCAGGAAAGTTGGGTATTTTTTAAAAACTTCCTTTGTTTGCAGAATGCTCCTGTTGGTCTACGATTGCATGGGCTCCCTCCAATAAACTGCGAGCGTTGACGGGCAGTTTAACCGTCGCAGGCATCAGAGCTGTGCCAGTACTGTTCTAACCGCATGTACATATGCTCACTTTCCCAGTAGATAAAACTGGTTAGTGATCAGAAACTGCTCGCATTTCTCTCTACGTAGCCCAGTAGCAACAAGGTCAATCGTAGCACCATGCTCCTTCGTTTGCTAGTCTTGGGTTCACATTGGACAGTGCAATACAGAAACTAGGAGTATATAAATCACAATATTTCTAATCTTGATGGTTCAGTATGTAAATTGTTGATAACATTTATAAGTGGAACCAGCATTCGATTGGATTTTCACTTATTTCATCCAATTGCTCTTTGTACTGTACATGTTTTGTCTGAACATTTCACTCAGATAAAACGAATGGAACCTGCAATCAATTGGATATTATGGCAACATCTGTGCTGCTGAAAGCAAAAGCAAATGTTTTGAAAAGAGCAGGAATGGCAGTGCAACTCTGACCATTTAAGTTGCTTTGACGTGTCTGTGGATGCAGAGGAAATATTTTGCTCTCAAGGTCATTTACTGTATCTTGTGCTCCGTTTATATTGTGTAGCATAACATTCACTTAATTTCTTTTAATCTCATGGAGGGCTTTGAAGGTGAGCCTTCGCCTTATTTATTTTACATTGAAAAGCACACTACCAATGCAAGTTTGTGGAGTGCTGCAGAGTGTTCAGGTTTATAAGTTGAGGTTGCTCATGCCTTGTTGACACTGTGGAGTTTCAAAGTTGTCAATTACAACTATTTTCTGGTTGTGGAGCCTAATTTAGTAATTGGGAAAGTTCGCTCGGCAGTGGGGAAATTACAGACAAATTGATGATCTCTGATGTGTGACCCTGGGAAATGTGAAAGAGGGAGATTGGTTTGATTGAATTTGGGCGAGGGGGCACGGAGGATTGTATCGTGATCCAATAGGCTTCAAAATCAGGCAGATGTTATAAATGCTGCACATTGGGCCGTAGACTAAAACTCCATTTAAACATCTGTTTTTTTTTAATTCTTAAGGGTGATGTATGTTAAAGACGGGCACATTCTTAAGTCCAAAATGACAGAAGCACTTAGGAGGAGTGCAGTGGTAGTTTGGTTCAACGTGTGGGATTCAGAGTAAATGGATAGTTTGCAGGAAGGAAGGGGTTTGTGCACAAGCCCTGTTGCCATTTCCAGTTCTGATTTTTAGAGGATCCCAGATGATATTCCTCTGTATTATGTTTCACCTCTTCCACAGCTCGTATTTACTGTGCACGAGCTCATTCACGTATTTTGAGGACCTCAAGTAGGCTGAGTTTTTTTTTTCAGTGAGCCAGACTTTGTTGAGGTTTATTTGCTGAATTGCAACCAAGTTACTTGCACTTTGATTGGCGAATGCAGCTGTGCAGTATGATGGCATTTATAACATTCAATTCCTGAGTAAGGTTGTGATATAATTTATATGTGGGGACTAATAGAGAGTCTGGATCAACTGGGGCTGGCATCTGTGCGGGTAAGCAAACAGTACAGATAGCAGACCTAATTGGCTACCGTGCCAACTTCATAAAAAAAAGTTCCAACAGGAATTCTGTCATCGTAGTACCGCACTGTGCCAGATAATCTTTCTCTTTGATGTTTTTTGTCTTTTACGTTGTCTTTTATTTCCTGTATATTGCAAGTCTGTCTACAGTTCTATCTTCTGGGTGTTGTGAAGCTGCCAGAAGTTTTCAACTCTGCTGTGGAACAGACCGTTTTGAGAATGTGTTTTTTAAGTGGTGTGTTACTTTGGTGCTGTACCTCAGAGCGCTCCTTTAGGACCTGGAAGCTCCTGATATCAGTGGACTTCCTCCCCCCCAACTCCATCATGGTTACTTGCATAGCTACTGAGCTGCCAATGAGGAATGGAAGGATACTTGGGGTTAAATCAGCGCTCAACACTGGTGCACTCACCGGTAGTTGGATCAAGAGCAACTGAGGCAAGCGGATAGAACATGAGCAGACCTAGAATTGAGAGGGTGTTATCGGTTCGCATTTGAAAGTTACCCCTGAGTCTGTGGATGATGTTGCAAGAGATGAGGAGCAGAACAGGGGCAGCTGTTCTAATCCCCAGTATCTGCTGTGGGTTTCATGTGGACTTCACATTTCATACGTATTGGATTTTTCTTTAAGGGCAGTGCTATTTATTTCTGGATCCAAATAAGTTTGATCTATATTACGGGCTCTGCAATAAATAATACTCTACTGAAAGATAAGGTTTGGTAAACAACAAAGGATTCTTAGCAGTTTGAAGAAGACTAAAACTAACCTGTTGCATCCGCTCAGATCCCTACTGCTCCCGCTCCTGTCCTGAATGTCTTTCCAATAACTGATTCTAGCTTTTATGTGCTTTACATAGAATGGTGTTCAATCAACGTTTAGATTAATGTGAGCTTTTAATGTAATTGAAGGGTTCAAAGGGTTTGCATGTAGAATAATGTGTCCCTGAAATTAATTACAAGACCATAGTCACATCGAAGGACCAAGATAATTACCCTCCAAACCTCTGCCGTCACATTCGTTTTGAAAGCCCTGTCAATGTTACATTGGTGTCTATTGTTTTTCGGGGACTTTGGGCTGGGAGCAGCTTTTCATGATGCCTGCAGGATATTTATTTATAAGAGGAATAATGATTTGTACTACACCACTGCAAGTTTAGCGAGAAGCAACATGTAGTCAGTTACTGTGGATTTCTGTTGCTTGTGTTTTTTTCAATCTGCAATACAAACTTAGGGCGTGGAGATTTATGATTTTATGTCATACCAGACATTTAGATCAGAAGAAGCATGTTTTCAGTTTATTGTCTTGTATTCCCTGCTCCTCCCTTACTTTATTGCGAGGATCCTGCCAGAATGTCAGCTTTGGGTATTCACAAGGTGAAGTGCGCGTGACAATGATAAAAGGCAATAACCTGATTAGGAAAGCTGCTTCTCTTTGATTTGCATGTAGCATGTGAGCCCTGTGCAGCGCATACAAAAATCAAAAGAGCCATGTATATGGAAGAAGTCCAAAGTGTGTCATGTAAAAGCCACTGAAGAAAAACCAAAGGGATTAAGTGTTTAGACAGAATTATTCAGTAGGAGCTCTGAAACAGCAGTGTTGCTTATTTTTATGTTGGAGATGGTTCTGTATTCTGGGTATATGCTAATGTGTCTAAGCAGAATCCCTTTCTCATGCTGAAGTGCTTTGAAACTAGATTGGATAAGACCATGTCATAACCTGATATTGTGACCTCTTGACCACTGTACTGAATTGCTGCCAGAAACCAAAATGTCTTTTTTGTGTGGAAAAAAAGGGCCAAGTGGTTTCTATAGAGCGTCCTGCTACACACAGATGTTGCTATAAGCTGTACTTACTGTGGCAACGCTAATAATGATATTTGTGAATATTCTTTAAGGCTGTGAAAGAATTTTCCCCCAAAATATTAGTTTGAAGTTTTTTCAGAATGTTCTTGTGCAGAGCCTGGCGCCGGCTGATTTGCCTTTGCTCTGTAACTGTCTTTCAAATAGATAGATATTTAAAATAACCCGAGCCCTCCTGAATTGATATTGTTGTTTGCCTCCACTAGCCTTTCTGGGCAGGCTATTCCAGATATTTTTCAGCCTTCGGTGTTAAATGGTCAAATCTAATCTGTTCACTTTCCTTCTTTTAAGCACTGTGCCCTGCTATAGAGCGTGTGTGTGGTTCTTTCGAACGTATTATTTGGCTTTTCTCAGAATCTTGAAGTTCAATCAAATCTTGCCTCAGGAAACTGGGGGTTTCAGAGGTTATTGTCACTATTTAATCTACTGGATAGAGGTACGGATTCTAAATATGGAGAAATTATTCTTGCAATTTGCTTATGGAACCTCATTTTATTATACACTCAAGTTTAAGGCTTTCACCAGAGCTCTAAACAAGTCTGTTTTCCTCCATCTCCACAACATCGCCCACCTCCTTCTCACCCTAAACACACCTAAAGCCCTCAATCACATCTTTGTCAACTCCAGA